CTGTGTGTTCTAAAACCTATGAACATGTGACTATAGAATTTGGATCAGGAGTAAAACCTAAATGAGAGATTTTTGTTTTGGAAAGTTCATTTCTAAAACATCATTGGCCTATCAAAAGGACCCTGGAGTGCCAAACTCCTGATACTCATTCATGAAGAAGACACGGAAAGTCCAGGGTCAGGCTCATGGAAGCATGCTGAGAGAAAAATGGCAACATAAACCTTTTTATTATGTTTATTATAAGAATATTAATCAAGGTACTATCTCATTTATGATCCTGTCTAATTTTTATTCTGTATCTAAATTTTAGAAAAACACTCTCATTAGCACATTAAAACTATTTTAATGATAGTTTTAATAATTTCAACACTTTGAATCTCAGAAGTATGTTTACTTCCATTTCAGTTATACAAGATGAATAAATAAATTCTAGAGATCTGCTGTACAATGTTTTGCCTATAGCTAACAATATTGTACACCTAAAAAATATTAACTGGCTAGGTCTCAAGTTAAGTGTTCTTAGCATGGTAAAAAAAAAAAAAAAATGTTTACTTTTTATTTTGCCCAATAGGAAGCTTGGTGCCAAATTCTTTTTTAGATTTTATTTTATTTTTTTATTTTTTTAAAGATTTTATTTATTTTTTTGACAGAGAGAGACATAGCGAGAGCAGGAACACAAGCAGGGGGAGTGGGAGAGGGAGAAGCAGGCTTCCCGCAGAGCAGGGAGCCCGATGTGGGACTCGATCCCAGGACCCTGGGATCATGACCTGAGCCGAAGGCAGACGCTTAACGACTGAGCCACCCAGGCGCCCTAGATTTTATTTATTTAAATATTTGAGAGACAGAGAGGGAGAGAGAGAGAACAAGTGCACACTGGGGGAGGAGCAGAGTGGAAGGGAGAGGGAGGGGTAAAGAATCTCAGGCAGACTCTGTGCTCAGCGTGGAGCCCAATGCAGAGCTTGATTTCATGACCCTGAGATCATGACCATGAGATCATGACCTGAGCCGAAACCAAGAGCCAGACGCTTACCCTACTAAGCCACCCAGGCACCCCAGCTTGGTGCCAGATTTTGAGGCTTTAGTCTCCTCTGCCTATTCCGCTATCCACGGGATATTGTGGGTATATTCCTGTGCAAAGTTTCCTACTATAAATTTCCCTTTCTCCAGTTCTCTAATTTACTTGTGCTTGACCAGATGAATCATATGTATCTCTATAAGCTACTCTAAATAATCTTTTTCTGGAACTAGATACACAATAAATAAGTGTAATTAAAGTAGAAGTAAAGCTCAAAGGATTTAATTGTAGTCAATATATTTGAAAGTATGCTGTTTGAATAAACTAAAGGTTAAGTAAATACTTCATTAGTAACTAAATTTGATGTATAAGATTATTCTTATTTAGACATTCAAATATTTTATATATAAAGACAATTTTTTAGATCTACATAACTGAAATTCAGTAGAAATAAATGAAACACTTTTAAAATAAATTGACTCTACATATTCAAATTTTCTCCAAGTCAAAAATACTTGGAATGATTGGCAAGTACATTCAATGCACTGCATTTAAATGAATACTCAATTTATTTTGAAGAAAAAATCTGACATTTATTCTTTAAAATAGCAGACAAGACTAACAGTTGGAGTCAAGTTCTCCATCTACCAAGACAGCATGTGAAATGAGAATGTACTAAGGAATCATGGGGTTTCATGTATGAGTTTGATTTTTTCCTCTTAAAAAATTGTCATAAATGTGACTGCTTTAGATCTGTAGGTCACATGTTTTTATTATATGATTGTGAGTTTTGAAAAAGCTTTCAGCACCTTCCAAGTGATTTTATTAAACAAAGCATGTAATTTGGATGCAAATGTGTATACTTTTACTTGACCATTAAGGGGTCTTAGAGTATATTATTAGTAGCTTAGTGTTTCAAGAGATCCAGAAAAAGTGGTAAATTAATATATAAAAGAAATGCCACTTTTCCATGCTTTTTTCCTTTTGGATCTCAAATTAGTATTGTTCTTTGGTTTATGGAAAATACTTTCCAGATGGACTCAATAAGCTGACACAGCTCCAGACCACTCAAGCCTTCTAATATGACAAGAATAATCTAGAAATGTTTGCCAAGCTAATTATATGATAGTATGATATTTTAATGATTCTATGGTGAAGTTAATGCAAAAATATCTCCTTAGGTGGCTTACTCAATGACCTTATGGGGACTGTGGAATTCAGAGTTCTTGTGTGGCATACTTTCATAGTTTCACCTCAGTCAGTTGTAAATTGTAGTCAGAATTTTTAAAACCCCCTTTACTTTTAGCTCTATTCCTTTGTGCACAATTACGGTAGCATTCCAAATTATATTTATAAAGCTACCCCACTGTTATGAGCTGAAATGAGTCCCCTCAACGTTCACATGATGAAGTCCTAACCCCAGGACTTTAGAATATGACCAAATTTGGAGATAGGAAATTTAAAGAGGCAATTAAGTCAAATAAGGTCATCATGGTGGGTCCTAATCCAATATGGTTAGTGTCCTTATAACAAGAGAAATTTGGACACAGTCATGTACAAAGGGAAGATCATATAACACAGGAGAAGACAGCTATTCACAAGCCAACAAGAGAGGCCTCAGAACAAACCAACCCTGCCAAAACCTTGACCTCAGACTCACAGCCTCTAGAACAGGGAAAAAATAAATTTCTGCAGTTTAAGCTACCCATCTGTGGAATGCTGTTACAGCAGACCCAGCAAACTAATATACCCATTAAACTGGATATGAACAATCAGAGATATTTTTAAGGGGAGGGTGTTTTAAGGGGAGGGTGACTGAGAAGAAAGCCTAGATGATTTTCACGCATCCTCTGCACGTACTACTACTTGCCCCCTGCACCTTTTACTATATTTCATCCTCAAACCATAAGGATTGTCTGGTCCTTCTTGTTTGTTTATGAGTACTTAATGGTAGAAACTGTCATCAGTAGGACATGGGTTTTTACAAAGAGAAACAGATGATGGAGGTCTTTCTCTACCCTTTTTTTTTAAAGATTTTATTGATTGAGAGAGAGAGAGCACCAACAAAAGCGGGGGGAGGGAAAGAGGCAAAGGGAGAGAGAATCTTAAGCAGGCTCCAACCTCAGGGTGGAGCCCCACTCAGGGCTCCATCCCAGGACCCCGAGATCATGATTTGTGCCAAAACCAAGAGTCAGAGGCTCAACAGAGAGAGCCACTCAGAAGCCTCAGTATTTATCAACCTTTATCTTACGATGCAAAATGCAGGGATGATACTGCCATGGCCAAAACTGTTATGTGTCCCCCAGAATGTATTCTCTCTTTCTCAAACAAAATCTACTCAACATTTTAGCAGAATACATCATCCACCCAGTTAGGACCCATCTTTTGCCATCTTCCCTGGAAGCTAAATATCATCATGTGACTAACTTCTGGCAAGTGAAAGATGGGTAAAATAATGCACAGAGCTTTTATAACACACCTTTAAGAGAGAGCTGGTGTCCTCCACTTCCAGTTTTCCCTTCCTTTTGTGGGCTGGGAGGGAGGTGTGGTGGTGAGCAAGTTTTACCATAAAAATACTAATACCCAGAGGACTGCAGAGCGATGAGATGAAAGGGCCCTACCTCTTAGGAGAATTTCATGGAGCAAAACTACTTCCCCTATCCAAAACTATCCACCTTAAATGAGATAGAAATAAACTGCTATCTTCTTGGAGCCATGGCATTTTTTGCTTATTTCTTACAGCAGCCTAGCCTGCATCTAAGTATATGACTGCCATTGGTTCAAACCAAATTATCACACACACAGAATATAATACTTGTTTGGGTAATAAGGAAAAAAAATAAGGCCACTTTAATTTTTAGCCTGTACCCTCTATACTTGCTACTAAAATAATCTCACAACATATATGATCTTGAGCTAAAAAATACAACTCAAAATCTTATCTCTACCAACAAATCTATTCTGAGAGGGAAGAAAAAGAAATCATTTACCACTATTTACTTGAAAAATATTTATGTAACAACATTTTACATCTACTTGTCCTCTGAATTTACGTAGAGAAAATCGTTTTTCAGTTTTGGTGGAATTGTATGATTGTAAAGTTTTTACATAATGCAATTAAAATTTCCCAACTTTGGATAACTTAAATAGCCTTGTTGAATTAGAAATAAAGCACAGATCTTTTTAACATCTCACCGATACAGGCAAGGGTTTGCTAATTTAAAAGAACCAACGGGGTAGAGTGCAGCTGTGATTTATTTATTTATTTATTTTTAATGCCTAATGGCTCAGCAAAGGTTAAGGTGAAACACATTATCAATATTGGCTGTTTCCTTTATATCAATGCACTTTCAAGTAATCTAGTAATGAATCAACTGAAAAAAATATGACGCTATAAGTGTCCTGACCTTACATTTTAGGGGAGCAAAAATATCTGACTGGCTGTCAAGAGACAGAGCAAGAATTTACCAGCTCAGATTAAAGAAAGCCTGGGCTCTTTGGCAGCAGAAATGACAGTGGCTGCATAGATCCCTTGAGTACTTTTTTTAAATTATGACGTCAGCAATCTGCTACTCTTACGAGTCCTGTCCAGCCCAACTGTCTGCAGTCTCTACATCCCTGCCCTGGTCATAGTGGTGGCATCCCTCTAAAGCAGTCTGTCTGAGGCAAGCTAGGGAATGCTGAATCTCATCTTTGGATTCACCTTCTGACTAATGATGAATGTACTTTTAAGGACTTATTCATAACCTACCTAATTCTAAACAAGCTTTGGGGAGATTCTTGCTAAATAAAGCGGCCCGCTGGTTTCACCATGATTCAGAAATACAGAGTTAAGTGCTACTGATGAATTTCTGAGGAAAGGGAAAGTGAAGCAAGATAATGCTTGTATTTCCACCACTGTTGCACATTAATAGCTCCTTATAAATTCACATTACTGTGTGTTTCTTGGTGTGTTAAAAATAACCTTCAGTGATAAGGGTTTTACCTTTCCCCAGGCAACTTCAGAATCCAAATTACTAGGCATTCCTTCAACTGCTGATCTCTTCGTCAGCTCCGTATCTGTAGCTGCCAGCCATTCCGTCAGGGCATTCATTTCCTTTCGCATCTTACGGGACAATTTCAAGCATTTCTCCAACTGTTGCTTTCTTTCTGTCACCTGAAAAGAATGACAATAAAATGTAAGTTAGTTTACCCCTTCAATTCAGGTTTAGGTATAGTCACTTAATAGGAACTTTAATATTTCTGTCATTTTAAAACAACCTTTTTCTTACATGTTAAAAATAGTATTTTAGAAAAACTGTATAGTCTCAGTATTAATGGTGAATAAACACAGTCTAGGAAAGATGAGATTCTTTCTCCAAAAGGCTGTGTTCCGTATTGGATAGGGAAAAAAAAAAAAGCTGTAATTATTTTCATCAATACAAATAAAAAGAATTTATGGTCAAATTTTTTAAATATACTGAATGATATAAGTACAACTGAAGAAATGAGAGATTTCTTTTAGAAAACCTTCAGTCATCTGTCAAATGGGTAGGCAAAGTTTACAATCCTCTACAGACAAATGAGGTTTGCTCTTGCTGGTAAGGAATCAAAATGGGGAAGAATATGGTTTCTCTCAAGAGGCAAAATTATTTTCGTAACACTTAAAATGGTCAATTTTATTGTCATTGCATCTATTAAGTGTCTTACTTCTGCAGAGAAACAACACAAAGAATAAGTCACTTCCCCTTTAAACATATTTTACCATTCAATGGAGGTAAAAAAAAAATTCCAAAACAAAATTTTCACCCTTATTAATAGAGAAAATCATGATCTGATTTTGTGTTCCAGTTCTCAGTGTTTAGAACTAAAATCCTCAAAATCAAATTCATCCACATTCTCACATGGAGGATTAACAAATATGTACTTTTTCAGCACCTCTCCAGATGTGCCTACAATTTGTGAGTGTTCAGGGTCTAGGTTGGTTGGTTTAATAAAAAGCCCAGAAACTCTTCTGATCCATCTATCAATCTATCTGTCTATACACACACAATCACACACACACCCAAACACATTCAGCCATAAGCATGAATCCAGCCATAAGCATGAAAAATGCCCAAGTAAGCATATCTTTAAAGAATTTAAAATGCTACAATCAAAATAAATACACTGAAACTTTGATATGAATTCCAAATACTCAACAAAATGTGTTAGTTTCTTTAACAGAGGTGTCTGTACATTTTAAAAAAAATGTTTAGTTGCTGAGGCTGCAAATTCAATTTTTTTTCTTTTTACAGATATCCCCCTTCAGGGAAGTAAAAGCATCTGCCCTTTTGACTGCAAGACTTTTATTTGTGTGTGGGAGAAAAAATATATATCTTACAGTGTGTTTCCATGCGTAGTTATTTTTTGCTATGCGCTATTGGTAGAAAAAGAGTTCCAGATTCAATATTTCAAAGAAATCCTATCTTCCCAGAGCTAATGCATTATTGATTTTTATTTATTCTATTTTGTTTATATCCAGCTAAATAGGTTTTAATAAAACAGGAGACACTGCCATCTTAAGGAAAATTGAGTTTTACACTTTTGTGTGTGTATGTGTGTGGAAAAGAGATACATTTAAAAGAGTGCCACCTGCAGTAAAATGCCTCAGTCACTGGTTCATGGGAAAATGCACATGAGGCTGACAGACTATTGCTACTGACGTACATTTCCATAAAAATCAAAGCACAGAGAAGCCACACTGGAAACTATTCAAGTTTTATTCATTGAACCATTAAGCTAAATTGATGCTAATAAACAAATAAAAAGTGCTATGCACTGAATTACGTCCCCCCAAAATTAATACATCGAAGCCCAAACCCCCAGCGTGACTGCACCTGGATATAGGATCTTTAGGAAGTAATTAAGGTTAAATGAGATCATAATGGTAAGATCCTAATCTGATAGAATTGTGGCCTTATTAGAAGAAGAAAGATCCCTTTCCCTCTCTCTCTCGCCCCCCACTCCACCCCATTTCCTCGCTCCTTCTTTTTCCCTCTCCCTCCCCCTCCACCAGAAGGGGTCACAATGAGAATGTGGCTTCTACAAGCCAGAAAGAGGGTCCTCACTAGGCTAACACCTTGATCTTGAACTTCCCAGCTTCCAGAACTGTGAGAAATAAATGTGTATTGTTTAAGCCAACTGGTCTATGGTATTTTGTTATGGCAGATGAGCTAACAAAAAAGTAACATACATTGAATTGAGGCAAGTACAACCATATAAATTTTGAAGATAATTAAACTAGAAGTGTTTGTCTGTTTTACATAATAATAATAATAAAGATATCTTTGTTTGATTTTGTCAAATGAAACCAGTGTTGTTGAAGGTGCTTCAAAGATTAAGATGCAGACAATATTTTCTTAGAGAAGGAATACCTGACTTAACAACATTTTATATATATATTCTTTTTATTATTAATGTTTCTTTTTTTAAATTTTGTTTTATGTTATGTTAGTCACCATACAATACATCATTAGTTATTTTTTAATTTTTTTTTACATTTTTTTATTTTATTATGTTATGTTAATCACCATACATTACATCATTAGTTCTTGATGTAGTGTTCCATGATTCGTTGTTTATGCATAACACCCAGTGCTCCATGCAATACGTGCCCTCTTTAAGACCCATCACCAGGCTAACCCATCCCCTGACCCCCCTCCCCTCTAGAACCCTCAGTTTGTTTTTCAGAGTCCATAGTCTCTCATGGTTCGCCTCCCCCTCCGATTCCCCCCCTTCATTTTTCCCTTCCTACTATCTTCTTCTTTTTTTTTTTTTTTAACATATAATGTATTATTTGTTTCAGGGGTACAGGTCTGTGATTCAACAGTCTTACACAATTCACAGCACTTACCAGAGCACATACCCTCCCCAATGTCCATCACCCAGCCACCCCATCCTTCCCACCCCCCCACCACTCCAGCAACCCTCAGTTTGTTTTCTGAGATTAAGAATTCCTCATATCAGTGAGAGCATATGATACATATCTTTCTCTGATTGACTTATTTCGCTCAGCATAATACCCTCCAGTTCTATCCATGTCGCTGCAAATGGACATCATTAGTTTTTGATGTAGTGATCCATGATTCATTGTTTTCGTGTAACACCCAGTACTCCATGCAGTACGTGCCCTCCTTAATACCCATCACTGGGCTAACCCATCCCCCCACCCTATTACTAATGTTTCTAAATCTTTATTTCAAAAACAATTTTTTGCCCTACATTTTTGCTGTATTCTCTCATGCTATTAAAGCGAAGTATGATTTCTTAGTCATCTTTCATTTTGCTTTAATGATATTATTAGTACCAAATGACTAAATCAACATAAACTTTCAAAAGTATATTTTCAGGGTTAAATAGGGCTTTACATCTTTGGGAGAGTCATTCACTTCCTAATTATAATTCACTCGGGGCACTAACAGTCTTCTCACGTCATTTTTATTGTTTTAAATTCAATGACTATTTCATGCAAAATTTACTTTTGCAAAGGCAAAGATTTTGTGCAAATTCTCCAAGGCAAAAGGAAAAAGAAGGCCCAGACAACAGTTTATATTTGAAAAAACAAAGAAACCACCTTTTTCCAAAATATACATTTTCTTAATAAAAAGGTATCCAGTAATACATTATTTTAATGTAAAGTCACAGAGGTCAAACTATAAACTCGAGTATAGAGAATAGCTTTCCAGAAATTAACAAATTGTAGAATTAGGATTACTATTAGAGATTCTTCAATTGATGTTAAATATAGAACAAGTGGCACCTGTAAAGGTCTATAAATACTAGAGGAGATACCAAGTGCAGATACAACTTTGCCCTCTGTGGTTATCTTTAACACAATGATAAACTTCTCCAGAAGGATTTAAGGGTCTTTTATTCCAGAGGTAGCTTGGTGGGCTAGACAAGCTGGTGAAACGTATTTTATTCTAAGATTATCCTCATGGTTTGCTATTTACTGCGTATCAGTGTTCCCTACTTTTTGATCCAATGAGAAGGAAAATACTTTGCCATAACATGACAGTTGGCTCTCTTTCAAAATATGTGAAATATAAATTCAAAGGTTTTTAAAATATAAAGATAAAGATTATCAACTAATATGAATAGTTATTTCCAGATTTCCATTTTAATCTAAAATTAACTTTCTCTCAGTGAAAAGTAAGTTGCAATCAGTAGCTTTAAGATCCAACTATCTATCTGCTCACAGGGTGAAATGTTAGAAATCTGTGTCTGCGTGGCTACTTCACAAATATGGACAAAAATTTATATTTGTGTCAAAGATGAAGCGATAGTTTTCTCACTGATGTTATATTTAATAAAGTTGAGAACTTGAGCCATGAAAATATACTCTGTTCTCCCCATTGAACCCAGTAAATCTCTTTCAGTCAGAATGAAATTAAAATGTATGCATTTTTATTTTTTTCTGCTTTGGCCCTTATTTTATTTCATTCATCTTTCCCCAGTAAGCATTAGGAGAGTGAAACCATCCCTCAGTACTCCTCATGTAAAGAATCTTGCTTAAAGGACTTAAGCTTGTATTTATTCGTAAATGGCCATAAATGCCAACAAATAGATAGATAACTTTATTTGCATAAATTTAAGAAAATAAGCATGGTATTTATTAATAAAATACACATATTCTCTCAAATGCCACATAATATGTCAAACTATCGCCATTTTTTAAGCAAATGATTATTTTATTACTATGTTAATAGTTTAAAGATTAGCTGAGCACTAAAAAATATTTTAGAAATGTAATGTAAATAGTAGCATAGAGTAATGTAAAAGAATAGCATAGAAAAGGACAGGTCAGTCCTTGATGTTGACAAGGCATGCCTTTATGGCTACTTTTTATGATTACTATCATTATTTTGAATCATCAAAGTTTTAAATCTATAGGAAATATACAGAGAATATTTGACTTGAGTGAATTGAGATAACTATCCCTAGTCATTCCACTGTTTTGGAAAGGGGATAGAGAGATGTAAACATCCTTAATTAACAGTGACATGGAATTGGTCATTGGACTCTATCAGGACAAAAATAGAAAAAAACTAATCGTAGAGCAATAGGACTCAACTGGCTATCCATTCTACCTTATTAACGAAATGTGGTGGATTATACAAGGCTTGCCACACAGGGAAATAACTTCTATGGACTGTGACAACTCTATTACACCTAATGTAGTCTATGTGGAATGTGTCAACTCCATTGTATCTAAATGTAAGTAAGGTCATTAGTTTATAAAAGGCTCTAGCCTTTAAATCATCACAAGTAAATTTATCCAATGAGAAGGCCAAATTTAGAACAAAGAAACCCTTTTAGAATTATCCAATGGGCCAATAAAAATCTCTCTGAGCTGTACATATTTTTTAATGTAGATTGGAAAAAAGATCCTTATTGATTAGTTATTGTTTCTTAATAAGAACTGCACATGGGAATCTATCTCTGTCTCTGACTATGCATAACTGTATGTACATAGCTATGCATGGAGAGAAAATGATTAAAACTTTCTAAGATTATTTGTGCATCATCACTGCCTCTTGCTTTGCCATTTCGAAGGAAAGTGGTAAGTAGCCCGTGTCTGTGGTTCCAGTGCACACGCACCTTTGCTCCCAGCTCATTATAATGCAATTTCAAAGCCGTGACTCTTTCATCAAGCTCTTTAGGGTTTTCCGTCTGCTTCTTCTGTACAATCTGACGTCCAGTTTTTATTACCATTTCCACTTCAGACTTCACTTCACTCAGACTTTTATACAAGTTCTAAGTTCAAACATAAAACAAAACATAATAATAAGCAATAGTGTCTGAATTACACTATAACAGTGAATAAAAAGAAAGAGAAGTAGAGATCACCTTAATTGGCATTCCATGTTTACAGTTTTAATGGAGTAGGATTTTGCAGCTATGACCAATATCTAGCTTTTGCATTGTCTGTTGATTTAATGTTTCTATTTGCAATTATATACAGACATGCATAAATGAGTATATTTAGTTTTACAATCCAAGTTGGTAATGATTATTCCTAAAAGTTGTATGATTTCTATTTCAAATGTTATATAATGCTAGCTGTGAATTTGGAAAAATTCATTTACCCCTTCACCAGGTATTTATTGAGAGCCTAGTACAGCAGGTATTACTGGATTCCCTAGACAATCAGTGGTGGCTAAGACAGACACATTCATTGCTGTTCTCACACATTTTAGTGGGAATAAAACATCTAAATTTCCAGATCATAATTTCAACATAAATTAAGTCATATATAAGGAAGGAAGGTAATTTTAAATATGTTAATTACATTATACAAATGTATTTTCTTAATGGGGCTGATTAATTCAATATAGACAGACACAAAAATATTATTTAAAAACTTACATATATATAACAACCCTAAGGAACACATGTATGACTTCACAAAAGTACACTGCAGTGTCATCACACAAAGTATTTTCCTGGAAAGATATGTGTATGTATGAATGCGTGCATGCAAACACATATGTATATGTATATATATGTAGACCGGCATATATAATACTTTACATTGTTGCTTTAATTTTTTCAGTGGTAATTGTGAACAACTACCCTTTTTATTGGTACTAAGAAATAAAGTTACTAGCAGGTAATTGCTGCTTCTTTGGAATTAGAACAAAACTTGGGTTTATTTTCTCTTCTCAGTTTAAAATCAATGCCTAAAAAGACTTTTTTTGTAAAGGCTGAGCAAATATCTTACTCATTAAAGCTACGTACATAATCTATTTCCATCTTGATCCCTTCTTTGATGGTTGTTTTGTGTTAATATTCCTTGACTAATAATTTTGGGTTCTTGTCTGAGCTTTCCAGATGATTTTTTTTTACTTCATTTTACTTTTATCTTAGAAATTACACATATATCTTGGTATGTAGAAACATTCAATCAGTAACTGTATGGAGGGAATCAACTGTGTGAATTTTGGAATCAGAGATATTTTCTAATGATTTATTCTTTAAACATTAAAAAAAAATCTCCGTGATTTACCCTTATGTTGAACGTTCAAAGTATCATTAGTACCAAACTACCAAAGCCATTAACCCCATGTCATTCAGTATGCAGAGAAAGTATCACTGAGGGAGGGGAATATCCTTCATATTTATTTGCGTTCCTGTTGGGAAGACTTTTTTTTTTTTAAGATTTTATTTATTTATTTGACAGAGAGAGAGAGACAGCGAGAGAGGGAACACAAGCAGGGGGAGTGGGAGAGGGAGAAGCAGGCTTCCTGCCAAGCAGGGAGCCTGATGCTGAGCTCGATGCGGGGCTCCATCCCAGGACCCTGGGATTATGACCTGAGCCAAAGGCAGATGTTTAACGACTGAGCCACCCAGGTACTCCAAGACTTTTTTTAATTAAACAAAAATGTTGAAGGCAAAGGCAATGATTACAGTGCATGCAGCAGGGCATCTTAAGTAATTTAAAAATATATAAATGTTGTAAAGAAAAGATATCCTTCTGGAAGAACTACTTGAATTGCTCCTGACATTTAAACCAGAGCCCCGACCAAACTGAGCAAGAACTTGAAAATGTTTCCCTGTAAAGGGTCAGGGCACAGTCACAGCTGGTTGCAGGGAGGGTTGTTTTCACCTCATCTTTACTAGCAGACCAGTTTTCTGATGTACCGTAGAGACCTGGTCATAGAAGGGAACAGCTGTCCCTTTGGGAATATATTTAATCATGATGGTAGTATACTGGGCTCATTTTGATTTCGATTATTTTTGCATAATTTAAGAGGAGATAGCTTCCTACAAATCCCTAATGTTGTTCATCTAATACCAGCTAATAATTATACATTACGATGTTCAAATTTTATTTTTCAGGGTGGGAATGTTTATAATAACAATGCCACTAAAATGCAGCCTGTGTTATGAAGGAATGTCACTGCATAAAAAAATTCCATAATTTCACAAAGGAATACACATATCTACAAAATTTGTGTTAAAGATACTTTCCCACTCACAATAATATGACTGAAATACATCTAAAGAGTTTCTTTTAAATTTATGTTATGGAGTAAAAGCAGAAACAATACGTAAAACACAAAGTACTAACTAGATAACCTTTTTTACCTTTAATGTTAATTATATTCAGGGCTTTTATTTTGTGTGACTTTCTACTCTTAGCCCATAGCAAACAAAGGGTTATAATAACAGTGGTATTACTCTAGTAGATAATTCAGCCTTATGTTGTCAGAGGCATCATCTGCCTTGGCGAATTTCCAATAATTGCAACAAAGGACACAGCTCAAGATCCCACAATCCTGTGAAGATTTATGCTGCAGGCTAATCATATGCCTTCCATGCCTTTTTATTCTGTCTTTGAGATCTGGTGGCATTTCAGTGCATGTCCAGCACTGATGTTGAATGGAAAGCTACCAGGGTTTGGAGGAAGAGCTCCATATTCAAAGTACTATAAGAATTAAACAGAGGGACTTCCTCTGATATTCTGCATCATCCTTCAACAATTACAGATTCAAAAAAGACACCTATAGAGGATGTATTCAAAGGCTACTATTTCAGTAAAAGTTCTTGTCTCTCAACACACTTGTGCAAACTTCTGTTCTTATTCTTAAAATTACATATTATTAATTATTATAGTTATCTGAAAACAATCTTCTATTATAAAGGAAGATCATCATCACATACCTCTTTTTTTTTTCCCCCACAGACTGCTTAATAAGGAAAGGCAAGGAGTAGCTGTGTATTTGTCCCCAGAAATACATACCACACAATGATTTAACTGTGACTGTACTACTTCCTGTTCCACACTCTTCGTTTCCAACGCAGGCAAATGCATCTTCACTTCATCTAAAATCATCTTACTTTCCTGTAGACGCTGCTCAAAATTGGCTGGCTTCTGGAATAATCGAAACTTCATGGAAACATCTTGCAATTTTTTCTGTAAAGACAATGTAAGAAAGCACCTGTATAATTTCACATTCCAAACAACAAGCAGTCATATTTTTGTTAATAGATGTTTCTTTATTACTGAAGATATACAAGATTTTAAAAAGTAAGGCATTTTTTTTTCCACTTGTCTAGCACAAAGAATGCATACATTTGGGAGAATTCAGTAGTTGTTCTGAATGTGATACTAAAAAAAAGGTAATTTATTAACCTACTTTATCCTTAAGATGTACACCCCCCCCCAAGATCTATGTTATTTATATATCATATTGTAGTTTTCCAATAATGCCCTTAATCCCGACTTTTTCTAATGACCAAATTGCCTAACATAGACCACGTTTTAATATGCAACTAGAAGAAGTTCCTTAGTTTATGCAGGATATGTACCTGTGCCACATCAATTTGGGACAGTACCCTTTGGGCAGTCTCCTTTCCCTGGTTATGTTTCTTCATTTCTTCTAAACTGATCTCATGACTTGTCAAATCCGATTGGATTTTCTGTTGGGAGGACAGCATTATTAGTCAGCATGCTCTGCAGGTTATTGCAAAGAATAACTCACTTGCCAAGAAGATGAAATTCAGGAACTCTCTTAAAGCATTATTACAAGGTAGCCTCCTTTAAAGTGACAATAGTTTGTTTTTGTTTTTGTTTTTTTTTACTTACCAAAAGTTATCAAAAATGACATAGCTTATTTCTCTCCTATTTGGGTTATTACGAAAAAGAAATTATCCTTTCGAGTCAGTGATAATGCATAGCTATTTCAGATATTTTCAGAAGGAAATATCTGTTTATATCTAATATGAATGACTGATATTCTTTTATCTTTGAATTTACACTCAAATCTGACTAAAGACATATATATATATCAAACCTGTGATAGGATAAGATATAATGAGAAAGTTCCATGTAGACAATATTCATTGTGATATTTACTCATTCTGCACTATATTTCAGTTAAATTTCAGGAAAATTATGGATTTAGGAAAGTGAAGTAAAATCCTTTAATTGGCTTTGCTTTTTGTCTGTTGGATACTTAAGAGTTTCTTCAAGAGACTGATTTTTGAACTTTAAATAACTATAAAAATTGCTATATTTTCTATACTGAGTAGACATTTTTGATCGAGCTCTATTTAGAAGTATGTCTGTATTTGACTTGTACACTTCTGAGCCTGCTTCAGGAGTCAGCCAAATCATGGAGTGTGCAGAGACCAAAACAATAAATTCATTCATTTATTTCTGCCAGTTCCAGCAAAAATCAGCAAGTTGTCAAATTATTCTAATTTAAATATCAGTTGCTGTCAGATTATCACAAGTAAGTTAGAAAAGAAAAGAATTAACTTATACCACAGTGCCCATAAAATTTTCATGCAAAACAATTTGTATAATGCATATTAGTATAACCTAATTTATACCAACTGGAGTCAATTCCAGTACATATTACTAGAAAATAACATCACTTTGATTAGCAGCTCATTACCACAGAGAACTACAATCTTGCAATGAGTAGTGTGAATTATCCTAAAAAAATGGGTTGAGTAGTGAAGGAGTTACTTAGTATACAAGGAAATGTACACATATGCCTTAATACCATTCCTTAACATATTGATCCTAACAATTATAAAGACAAAGTAATGATGAATTACTTAAGTAATTACAATTTTGGCATAAAATAATTAAGAGCAAGGACTCATGCAAATACATACTATATATGTATATATATATATATTTTACTATATAGATATAGATATAGATATAGATATAGATATAGATAGATGTAGATATAATCTTCACTGGTTGAATTACTCCCTTGTATATAGATATATGCTATCCTCCAGAAACCATGGAGTTCGGGGGTTAGGGATCCATATAAGTGCGCAAAAAGATTATTCACAAAGTTATAAATGCTAAAGAATCTACGAAATTTAATGGGGGTATGTAGGACAGAGTAACACTTAACAAGGAAGTGAATAGATGTCATAGGAGAGGTGATGTTAAATCAGAACTCTGAATAATTAGTAAGCATCGCTGGCAGTAGCAGATGCTTTAGGGGGAGGGGTTACGATTATGATATTTTAAGTGGAAAATGCTCACCCCCTCAAAAAAGTAGGTCAATACTAACCATGTCTGTGCCACATAAACCTAGCCGCTCCCAAGTCATAGATGATTAAAACATGGACAATGCTTATGTCCCAATAGGTCCATCAGATTCTCTCTCAGAGCTGCAGGACAAAGTCTGGCCAAGCTCTGTGGGTGCTGAGAATCTTCACATATGCAAGGAGACTGTGCTTAAGAAGTCCACAGTTGGGGGTGGGAGGATGGGTTAGCCTGGTGGTGGGTATTTAGGAGGGCACATTCTGCATGGAGCACTGGGTGTTGTGCACAAACAATGAATCATGGAACACTTCATCTAAAACTAATGTTGTAATGTAAGGGGATTAGCATAAGAATAAAAAAATTAAAAAAAAAAAAAAAAAAGAAGTCCACAGTTTACAGTGTCAATTGGGGAATAGCAAAGGTCGATGACTAGAAAGAGAAGATAGAAGTAGATGCCAAAAAGAGAGGTATAAACAAAAATACTGATGGCTTTCAATCACAGGCTGAAGGAAATGGGGCATTTTCCAAAGATGGCTGTAACAACAGTTCCCATACTATGTGCTACTCTTACCACTCCCCCATTAAGAGGTGGAGTTTCTTTACCTCTTTAAACCTAGGTTGGCCCTTTGACTGCCTTGACCAACAGAAGAGGGCAAAAGTAGTATTTTGTCAGTTATGGGAAAAGCCCCTAAGAGGACGAGCAGCTTCAACTTCTACCTTTTTGGAACATTGACTCTTAAGATGTTCCCTCTTGGAACCCATCTGGCATGCTCTGAGAAGCCCAAGCCACATAAAGAAGCGGTGGGTAAGTGATTCAGTGAACGATCCCAAGTGAGCTTTCAGCTACAATGAGCATCATCCTTGGAAAAGCTAAGTCCAGTGCAGTTGAGCTTACATGCCATGGCAGAGCCAGCCAACAACTGCCTACAATCCCATGAGAGATCCCAAGAGATAATGATAAATAGCTGGTGCAAGTGACGAAAACACAAGCTCTAGTCCATTCCTGAGACAAATTTTATTCTTGCCCTTAGCTTCCATGAGACATCCCTATATACCGATGACAAACTTCTTCCCCTCATTTTTGTTTTTTAGTTAATTCAATTGTGCTACTTCTGCTTCATTGTTCTAAGTAGTATCTTTGACAAGCAAGGAGATAGAAGTTTTAAAAATAGAAGCATTCCTGATTGAGGGAAAACAAGGTACTCAGATGAGGTAGTAAATGGCATGGGGAGTTTGGGAGAACTGAAATAATAGAGAATGAACACACAATGGCAGAAATATAAATGGAAGAGGTATTTAATAACGTCATGTCCCAAATGAAAAAAACTCTAATTTTTCAATATGAAGAGAAAGTTTAAAATTTTAAGTTCATCAGAATCACAGATAATAATAGTTTTACTGCTAATAGTTAATCTAATAATTAAGGAAACCTGCAATGAGAGAATGCGATTATAAATTCAGTAATACTTTGAAATGAATTTGTATTTTTCAAATCACTATATACACACATAGCTACATATGTGTATACTTTTTTTTCAAAAAAGCAGTGTGCACCTGTACAATTAGTATTTATTTTAATGTACTCTCAAACATTAGAGGGCCCTAATGAGGGCCAGGAGAGAGCCATGGAAAACAAGAATTTAAGGGATATGGAGAAGAAAGAAAGCACCAAAGAAAGAAAAGGAAGAGTCCAGGAGAAGGAGAAACAGAACAGCCAGGAAAGATAAAGGGTGCCACTTCAATCAAGTGATGTAAGAATTTTAAAAATGAGGGAGAAGTCAACAATGTCAATTTTGAGACATGTCAAATGAGGCAAGTTCTAACAAGTGTACATTAGCTGGTCAATGAGCACTATAGCTAGAAGAGAGTCACTGGTAAGTGCAGAACTTAGCTTTTCCGAGGATGAAGCTTAAAGACCAGGAAACCCTCATCTAAAAATAGTTCAAATTATTTTTGAAGAATTTTGTCTCACCACATAATGTATTGTGGTCAACAAGGAACACGTATTAAGGCTATGTAAAAGGAGCCAAGGAATGAGAGAGATTTAAAAAAAAGAAGAAGAAGATAATTGATTAGAAAAACCCAGTGGGAAGCAAGAAGGAATGAAGAGCAAAGACCAATAATCAACAAGAAGTACTGACAGAAAGAGAGGTGCTACTTTTTCAGAAGCCCAAGGTAAGACATAAAGATCATTTTTGATATAGAAAGGCAGAAAGGGCTTCTTACTTGATGCTCTGTGTGAATCAGAACAGAAGACTGTTAAGAGAAATCTGAACTTAAATTTCAGGGCTCTGGGGGCACCTGGATGACTCAACTGGTTAAACATTCGACTCTTGATTTTGGCTCAGGACATGGTCTCAGGGTTGTGAGATCAAGCCCCGCTGAGCCCAGCCTCAGGCTCCTTGCTCAGCGGGGAGTCTGCTTGAGATTCTTTCCCTCTTTCTCTCTCCCTCTGACCCTCCCACGGCTCGTGTGTGTACACAAACGTGCACACGTGTGCACACTTTCTTCTCTCTAAAATAAATAAATAAATCTTCAAATTTCAGGGCTCTGATTTATCCCTTGAGCACCAAACCATTCTGAAGCTCAATTTTCTCATCTCTAAACTGAGGATGTTGATGACAAGCCAGTAATGAAGCATCATCAGTAGTCCTGGGAAAATTCTCATGTTTGCAGCAGACAACTACACTGGTTTTGGTAAAAAAGATCAGATGTTATAGTGTATGTAAAAATACCTGTTCAAGTTTGCACAAATATTTACTTCCAAATTGTGTCATTATGAATTATTGATTTATAAGGAAGAGATTCTTTTGGTATCCAGTGAGGAAGAGAGAGAAGAGGGTTGAGGAGGAGTCTAAAGGAAAATGATGGAAGTCACATAGTCATTGTGGAAACTGGGGATGGAAATTGATGAGAAAAAAAAAATAAAAGATACTCAGAGGAGAGTGCCCAAATTATGCATCTGCAACCATATATATCTACATGTTTTTGAAGCCCTTCATTTGTCTAGTACTCAAGCTAAAGGAAAAAAAATAATAGAGGAAAAAATGAATTATACACATATTCCTTTAGCCTTTTATACTAGAAGGGTAAGAGAAGAACACTGAAGGAAATCATCCTCCTCATCATCACCACCAGAGCAGACATCTGTGTCAGCTTTTATATGACGATTCACACACATATATTTATTTAATCACCTAATCAAACTAAGATACAAGTTTATCATCCTCATTCACAAATGAGGGTAGAAATGTTGACTTGTCCAAGGTAACATACCCAGGAAGTAGCAAACTCAATGTCATCTGAATAACTATACTTCCTCTTAAATTATGATTCCAAAATAAATGTGTCCTCCATATGGACATTGGTCAGACAAGGCAGAGAGTGCATCTCACAAATGCAA